CAGCCTGTTTCGGCCCAGCTCCTTGGTGTCCTTCAGGGCCACGGGCTCGGGGATGGGCGCTTGGTCCGCCATATGGCATGATGCATCATGTGCAGTCCGAGGGCCAGCACATACTCAGCATCCTCCACAACCACCTCCTTGGTGTCGCCCACACCTAGGCCGAACGTGAACTGCGCATAGCACACGCTGTAGTTGTAGCCATCCTCCTTGGGCTTCACCACGAAAGCAGGGAAGCGCTTTCCTGGAAAGCTTTCAAAGCTGGACCCGGAGCTAGACTCCTCTGGGACATTATAACCGTATCTGTAGAACAGAAAGTCATGTCAGGTCACGAAATCGTCAGGTCAGATTTGGTGAATAACCTCACCCCAAGACCTCCGCGCCTTGTGACAAAATGTCGCAGGCAAACAGTCTCTGAAGCTTGGCAGTTCGTGTCTGATGCTGCTCGATAATGCATCCATTCATAAAAAAATACTGAGCCCTGTAAAGATCAACTCACAGAGTTTTGCTTTGTGCCACTGTACACACCAAAACTGAATCCCATCGAGAATGTGTTTCATGCACTTAAAAGCCGTGTGCGGAAGTTTAGCCCTCACTCGATTGCAGAGAAAGAGCTCGCTGCCCGTTGACTGGCTGTTGGGGCACGGGCGAGTGCAAAGGATATTTTCCATTTTCATGAATTTCTTTCCACCAATGATTGGGTACTGTACCATGGCCTTAAGATGTTTGGGGCCACTCCGGATGCCCTGAACGGGGTCTGCACCACTGCCCGAAAACCGTGTTCGCCCATTGCCGCCTGATCGCCTTGATCAAACAGGGTACTCGGCAGGATAGAAGGCAATAGGGGCCGGCAGGATGGGCTGTTGGGGCTTTCCCGACGCTCAGCAATCAGCGAGGTTGCGGATACCAGCAAGTGCACATCATGCAGGCGTGCAACACCAGGCGGCACCTCAAGCGCGTGGTGGTCACCGTAAAATTCGGTGGCCGGCATCTGCTTGACTACGAAACGTGGAGGCGCTGTGCGGCTCTTGTCCCGGCGCATCCAAAGCAACCGAGCGCCGGGCCGCGACTGAATCAGCACGCAATCGACGATCTCCTACACTTCACACGCTATGAGAGCGCCATACTCGCATGTCAGACATGAAGGGAGAAACAACACGTAATCCGCTACCGTACATTAGTCAGTTTACCATACAGCTGATAGGTAGATTAGGCAATTGGACCAGCCAACCTCAGGCAATTGGACCAGCCAACCTCTAGGCTAGAAGGGCAAGATGTGGAAAACAAAAGCTACCCAGCAAACCCGATCAGTTCTGTCTACCACTCTGCTGCTCGGTCATTGCCCCGTTGCTCCCCTTCACCATCCCGCTGCGAGTTGCAGATCGAAGGAAGGGTGAGAGGACATGCTGATGAAAACGACGCCTCGATGACGCCTCCGCATCGATGCAAGACAGGTTCCTTGCTCTTCTCAACAGCAGGATCTTACTGGAAAGCGGCATAGGTCTGTGATTTGGGATGTCTGGCGACCTTCGTTGAGTGGGCGTGAGACGCCAACGCTTAACTCGACAAAGCATGTCATGGCCGAAATCAAACAGCCCAGAAGGACTTCCCTCCATGCTTATCCAGTGCGGAACCGTGCAGGAACGTCGAATCGTTACTGCGTCACTCTCATGTGCAAGAACAGCGTTACATTGGGCCCCCCGTCAGCAATGGGTGTCCTCGGCCATTTGTACGAGCACAGCAGCCTTCCCACCTCACTCGACTTTGCGCTGGTTTATCCATACAGTAATCACAGCGGCACCTATCACGCTACTCATGAGGTATTTTTTGCCCCTGACCGGCACTAGCAAAATTGGAAGTATGGTATGTGCGCCTGCGGCATGTTGGCAAAGCGTAGTAATCCATTCCAAACATGCAGAAAAGTTCTTTTCTCCACAAGTCGAGGAACTGAAACAAGGGAATAAAAGAAATCAAGCATAGCATCATCCAAAGAATAAAAATGGACGAATGGACCCCGCATTCATAACCACAACATTGCGACCTCAACATTCGAGGCACAAACACATCAATATCATTAATGTCGAGCACAGCAGGAAAATAATGAAACAAATCGACGTTGCGGTTCAGCGAGGACCTTTATGCAGTGAGGCAGCGTTATGCAAGCAGTGCAAACGTATGGCCAGAAAAGTTACTGCTGTCCAGTGCAGCCTCTCGCCTGCCAGATCAGTGATTGTCCGCATGTGAAAACTCGTACTTGTGCATCATCTGCTCGAGCTTGGTCGTCACCAGCACCACCCCCGCCGCCACAGCCGCCACCACCAGCAGCCCCAGCCCCTCCCACGAGCCCACCAGCCAGCCAGCCGCGTGAAGCACCACGGAGAGAACACCGTTACCGGCTGAGGACGAAGAGGAAGCAGCAATGGCGGGGGCTCTCCTCCCCTCCTCCCACCCCCCTACCCCGGGAGCTCTCCTCCCCTCCTGCGTCGGAACCGTGGCGATGTAGCCACATACATACATACGTATATATGACGTGTGGAACAGGGGGGCATATCTTCACCCGTGGCAGCTACCCTGCGAAACCCTGCCTTCCCCGGTATTTCGGGGCACCCTCATCCAGTCACCCTAGCCGACTTCTCGGTGGATCGCTCAGGTTCCGCACCCACCACCGGCATCCAACGGAATCTGCCGGATCGACAGCGGCCCAACTCCATTCCTGGTCGGCTCGCGAGTAAACTTTATCCCAGGTCACCACCGTCCATCGACTAGGGGCACTCTTACCTTCCACCATCGGAAGGATTTTCGACTCTGACAGGTCTCGATCCCGGAATCTCGGGGGGCATGTACGTACATACATACTCGACATGAGCATCGCTCTGGCAGGCGGCTGGCAGAGGTTAAGGCCTGACTTCTGCTCCCAGTCGACCCAGTCGACCCGGGTTCAAATCCGCCTGCCGGCTCCTCGGGTGTTTGAGGAGTGATGAACTGGGAGGTGGCCCCCCATCTTATGGACGGTGTAGGACGTGATAATATCAACTTGCGAGCTGACCAGGAACTAAGTTGATGCGCCGTTGATCCGCTAGATTTGGTTGGATGCTGGTGGTGAGTTGCCGAACTCAACGAATACATTCTGAAGTCGGATGGGGTGACGGATTAGGGTGCCCCTCTAGCAGGGGAGAGCAGGGACTGCCCCGGGAAAGGGGGCCGCTGGCGAAGTTGACCACCCTGTAACAACATACATACGTACATATATGTGTGTGTGGCAGTACTTACGGCAGGCCACGCAGGCGCCCCATGTCGTCCCGTTTGCTTGCTGGGTGGGACCGCCGCTAAAGGGCGAACTAGAGGGATGGTGGAGACCTCCCAAGTCGCCCGGAGTCTAAACCCTCGCAGCCCTATCCAAAAACCCCCGCCAGCCCTCCCCTCCTCCCGCCCCCCTGCTCACCGGGAGCTCTCCTCCCCTCCTCCCGCCCCCCTGCTCACCGGGTGCATACGTCACGTCCCCACCAGCGAACTTGGTCAGCCAGGTGCACCAGGCCGCAACAGCCCTGGGGTACATAGAGGCGGGGATGGGAGGGAGGGATGGGAGGAAGGGCGGAAGGGGGGAAGGGGGAAATAGGTATAATTAGGACATTTCAGGGCAATGCAAGGCGGTAGGGGGACGTGCGGGGCAGCGCGATGTAAGGGCTCCATGGGAGCTAGGGACCTCTCCCGCGTATCGCTACGATACTCGCAAGCGGGCAGATATACACGTCCGGAAAGAATGAAACCTTCAACACCGCAACGTTGCATCAGCTTTCCTTCCTGCTAGACCTGGGTAATAGGGTAGGTAAGTCCTTGGTAGACAGTCGACCTGTACCGATAGCAGCATTGCACGCCGCTGTGCGGCCTTCTCGTCATTGCACCATGTCATCACTCGCTCTCTAGTGTTGGCCTCAGGTGTGGGTGTGTGGGTCCCGGTGCGGGCGCACGTGTGGGGAGGGCGGGTGGGGTTG